GATTTTTAGATCTCAGCGATTAGTGTCTTACGATTTTTATCTATTCTCTGACCACAAAAAATAATCTATGTACTTTATATTAACATAAGAATATGCAAAATGAGCATGGTCATTTCTATTTTGCTCATACCATTAAAAAGGTTCAGTGTTTGAGTATATGATGTGATATGAAGTGAATTAATTTTTAATTGATTAATGCTTTTCAAAAGCTTTGACTTCAAAACCATTCATAGATTACATGACGTGAGAAAAGTGTGTGTTTTTTGTTGACATAAACAGTGAGTGTTTTTGATTGCATCACAATTTGGGATCCGCTTCTTCTCCGCCACTCTTTGTCCGCAATTTATTGTCCATTTGTCCGATTGTGTCAACTATTGTCTTATATTAACCACAATTGAGTCAATGGTTTGTCATATATCGTGAATTTGCATCAATTAATGAATGAATGGATGAATTGTTGGTGTTTTGAGACAATTGTTTGTTGTCTTTGACATTGAATTGTGGGACAAGTCATTGATTTGGAGACAATGAGTACCACCGAAGACAATACTCTAGACAGCAATGAGAGCAGTGACTCAGTGTCTGTGTGTCGACGCCGTGGTCTGTCTGAACACCTGGTCCTGCATTACGTGCACACATGTGTCGGCCGCAAGATCTACGAGTCGGCCAGAGATGGGATGTCTGTCACGCTTTACGCTCTGCTCCACAATCTGTCCAAATCGGAGGCCAATCGCTATATCAACGAATTGGTGGCCGACGGACAGACAAAATGCTCGCCACTGATCATCGCCGCCAAGAATGGCCACCAGAATATCGTCAAACTATTGGTCATGAAGTTCTCGCCCGACCTCGAGTTGGAGGGATCCGTTCAGTTCGACGGCTATCTCATTGAAGGCGCCACAGCTTTATGGGTATCGCATCTACTACTTGATGGGCGACACGAATGTCATAATGATCTTTGATTTGCCCGCGACTTATAGGTGGCCAGCAGTGGAGGGCATCTCAATATCGTTAGATGTCTTGTCGAGCACAACGCAAATGTGAATCACTGGACAAAAACACAGTCAACTCCTTTAAGGTAGTACTCGATTGACAAAAGTATTTTAAATCCTAATGTGAATGAATGTCTTAAAGGGCCGCCTGTTTTGATGGACGACTCGATATCGTCAAGTATTTGGTTGAACACAACGCAGACATTCATTTGTCCAACAAATTCAATAACACACCGCTTATGATCAGTTCATATAAGGGTCATTTAGAGGTCAGTTTGCTATACATAGAAAGTATTACCGCATTTATAAATGACAATACATTGACAGGTCGTTGAGTATCTGCTGTCGTTGGGCACCGACCCGAATACCCGCGCCCTATGCGGGGCCACAGCCCTGCACTTCGCCGCAGAGAACGGCCACTTATCTGTCATCAAAGAGCTTCTGTCTAATAACGCGGTCATAACAAAGAATTCAATCGGAATGACACCCATAATGACTGCCGCGGCGTCCGGTGCCGCACATATAGTCGAATATTTCACGAACTCTTCATTCGAACAAATCTCTGAAATCGAAAGGATAGAAGCGCTGGAACTGTTGGGCTCTTCGTATGCCAACGATAAAGACTCGTATGATTTGGAGCGCTGTTATTACTACATGGAATGGGCGATGAGGTGTCGCTTCCGGAACCCATTAACGCCATTACCGAAGAAACCTTTGCCACCGATCGCTGCCTACGATAATCGAGTCGAATGTCAGACATTAGAAGAATTAGTTTTGATTCAATCGAATAGCAGTGCTCTTCATATGGAATCGTTGGTCATTCGGGAGCGTATATTAGGTGTGCATAACCCGGAACTCCCGCATCCCGTCATATTCAGAGGCGCTGTCTATGCGGACAGCGCTCGCTTCGATCGGTGTCTTCAGCTATGGTTACACGCAATGAGATTAAGAACTCTTAATACGGTTTCAATCAAAAAGGATTTGTTACGATTTGCACAAGTCTTTAGTCAAATCATTAACATTAGACACGATTTGCCTTTTGATTCATTGAATGAAGTGATGGAAACGGCTTTCAATGAATTGAAGCGAAACAAAGAGACGCTCATTAAGTGTTGCGATCAAAGCTCCATAGATATCATTCAAGAAGAACTCGACGATAATATTCATACCGTTCTCTATCTTATAGTCATTGTAACAAAGGTTTGTATATATTATATAAATAATCATTTTTAATGGATTTTTGAATCTATTGTTTCTTTGGTTCAGATCTTAAAAACATTGTCAAAAGAAGAAGAATTGTGTTTATTTCGATTGATTTATAACATTAACAAACTTGAGTTAAGAACCAAAGACGGCTCATCTCTATTACATCTGAGTGTTAGCGCCGACACACCTATCGACGACTTTTATACCAAAAATGTTTGCAAGTATGACATGAAGCCATTATTTCTCTTAATATACATTATTATTGATTGAATATGACTTTAAATGTAAAGTACATGTATACAATAGGTTTCCCTGTGCCAACACCGCTAAGATACTAATCCAATGCGGCGCTGATGTGAACGCATTGGACGAGCGCCGCAATACACCACTCCATCTGATAGTGGCCTATCAGAAGCCAATCAGTGATTTTCTTACTCTTCACGCCATTACGACATCTCTGGTGGAAAGCGGCGCACATATGGATGCCGTGAACAACAGGAATGAGACGGCGATGGAGTCGGCGACCACTGGTGTCGCAGAAATTTTGCTCAAAACACAAACGAAGATCAGTTTGAGATGTTTGTCGGCTAAAGCTATTAAGAGTTATGGAATCCAATACAACCACCTCTTTCCACAACCAATCGTTCATTTCATTGACATTCACGGCGTGTCCGCCAAACAAATCTAATGTTATATTTAATTAATTTACTAATAATTGTTATATTTGTTTGTATTTAAGATTTTTAAAATTCTAATCTATAAATAAAAATATATTGATCTGATATTAAGCCAACAAATTATTTACCGTATTTATGCTCATAAAAATACCGGTAATGTTATGTGAATTTCAGTTCAAATGCGATTTTTCAGAATCGGGGGTAACGTTTCCTAGATAGTATTACCCCCATGTACTAAAACTCACATACAATTACTGGTAATACTATGTGAAATTTAACAAGAACTATTCAAATAGCACAATACCCTATGTTTTCAAATATAACCACTTCTGATTTAATGAAAAATTTACATTCAAGGAAAGTTGTGAGAACACATTCCGTTTTATTATTGGTCGTCTAATTAGACTAAGATAATCATTGTTAAATCATTAATTAAAAGTTTTATATACTGTACTGTAGAAATGACTTATTTATGCATATTTCTCTTAATATTGTTTGATTTTAAAGTAAAGTTTTAAAGTTTAAAAGTAATATTCTACAATTAAAATTATAGATTAAACTTAAAATTTTCTTCTTAGGTTATATAAAATTCAAACTAACAAATGTATTAAACCTCTATTCGACACTTTATTTTCACTATCAAAGTAACTAAATTTCTTACAATTAATTGTTAATATTTTTATTAAATGACTTTTTCATTAGACATTCTTCAGCTTACATATGGGAAAATAGGGTAAAACTAAGCAATTTTTTTGTAAATTGTCATATTGTTCCAAAAATAGGGGGTAATGCTACCTAGATAGTATTACCTCCCTTTACTGGATTTCATACAATATTACCGGGTATTGTAGTGAGGATAAATACGGTATTAGAAATTCATAAACAACTGATTACCTGATGGGTTGTTAATTAACATAATTAGGTGAATATTTATACAACAATTAATGATTTAATGTTTAAAATTAATGTATGAATTATTTCGTTGTTTTAGTAGAATTAACATTACCAATAGATTTAAGATAAAGTTCACACAATATCTGAATATAAACAATGATTATTATCTTATTGGTTCATCTCTGAAATGTTTTAAATTACATTCACATATTCGCCTAAATAACTGCTAATTGGGATTAAACGACCCCTCATTATATTATAAGGACAAGGTTTGACTGGCATTTTAAAAACATGATCACAATTTTACCATGGTACACGTTTTCTTGTATACAGATTCTGTATTACAATTATACAATTAACTTATTGAATGCAGGAATTGGTCATTATTGCCCAAAACATTTACTCATCTTCAAATAGATCGGAGGTGTCTTTGAAATGAAGCCAAAATAGCAGTCATTTAGTTATGTTATGTGTATTTTTGCCACATTATACATCAAATATACATGTAATATAATCATATAATTACCAGAATTTTATTAAAGAATTATAACAATAGTGTTTTTGATTGTAAAATATGCCACAGAATCGCGTGAAACGTTTGCATTATAACAGCTTTTCATTCAAATCTATTTTTAAAAATAAACAATTTTGACGTCGATTTAGATTAAAACATAAGTTTGAATATAAAATGGAAAAGAAATCGACGGATAAAGAGGTCGTGAAGATAAGCAAAGACTGCGAGGAAGCCATCTATGAAGCGATCGACTGTTTGTGGACAGCGAACGGAAAGTTTGTGTGGATTTCTCGCCGACAGATATACTGCTCTCATCTCATAAACGATAGCGATTTACAAGAATCTCAATCTCTTGTGAATATACGCCATTACGACATCTCTGGTGGAAAGCGGCGCACATATGGATGCCGTGAACAACAGGAATGAGACGGCGATGGAGTCGGCGACCACTGGTGTCGCAGAAATTTTGCTCAAAACACAAACGAAGATTAGTTTGAGATGTTTGTCGGCTAAAGCTATCAAGAGTTATGGAATCCAATACAACCATCTCTTTCCACAACCAATCGTTCATTTCATTGACATTCACGGCGTGTCCGCCAAATAAATCTAATGTTATATTTAATTAATTCACTAATAATTGTTATATTTGTTTGTATTTAAGATTTTTAAAGTTCTAATCTATAAATAAAAATATATTGATCTGATATTAAGCCAACACATTATTTACCCTATTTATGCTCATAAAAATACCGGTAATGTTATGTGAATTTCAGTTCACATGCGATTTTTCAGAATCGGGGGTAACGTTACCTAAAATTAGATAGTACGTGTATTACCCCCATGTACTAAAACTCACATACAATTACCGGTAATACTATGTGAGTTTTTACCAAGAACTATTCACATAGCACAATACCATATGTTTTCAAATATAACCACTTCTGATTCAATGAAAAATTTACATTCAAGGAAAGTTGTGAGAACACATTCCGTTTTATTATTGGTCGTCTAATTAGACTAAGATAATCATTGTTAAATCATTAATTAAAAGTTTTATATACTGTACTGTAGAAATGACTTATTTATGCATATTTCTCTTAATATTGTTTGATTTTAAAGTAGTTTTAAAGTAATATTCTACAATTAGAATTATAGATTAAACTTAAAAATTTTTTCTTAGGTTATATAAAATTCAAACTAACAAATGTATTAAACCTCTATTCGACACTTTGTTTTCACTATCAAAGTAGCTAAATTTCTTACAATTAATTGTTAATCTTTTTATAAAATGACTTTTTCATAGGGGGTAATGATACCTAGATAGTATTACCTCCCTTTACTGGATTTCATACAATATTACCGGGCATTTTAATGAGGATAAATACGGTATTAGAAATTCATAAACAATTGATTACCTGATGGGTTGTTAATTAACATAATCAGGTGAATATTTATACAACAATTAATGATTTAATGTTTAAAATTAATGCTATGAATTATTTCATTGTTTTAGTAGAATTAACATTATCAATAAATTTAAGATAAAGTTCACACAATATCTGAATATAAACAATGATTATTATCTTATTGGTTCATCTGTGAAATGTTTTAAATTACATTCAAATATTCGCCTAAATAACTGCTAATTGGGATCAAACGACCCCTCATTATATTATAAGGACAAGTTTTGACTGGCATTTTAAAAACATAATCACAATTTTACCATGGTACACGTTTTCTTGTATATTACTATTAACTTATTGAATGCAGGAATAGGTCATTATTGCCCAAAACATTAACCCATCTTCAAATAGACTGGAGGTGTCTTTGAAATGAAGCCAAAATAGCAGTCATTTAGTTATGTTATGTGTATTTTTGCCACATTATACATAAAATATACATGTAATATAATCATATAATTACTACAATTTTATTAAAGAATTATAACAATAGTGTTTTTGATTGTAAAATATGCCACAGAATCGCGTGAAACGTTTGCATTACTGTTATAACAGCTTTTCATTCAAATCTATTTTTAAAAACAGACAATTTTGGCGTCGATTTAGATTAAAACATAATTTTTGATATAAAATGGAAAAGAAATCGACGGATAAAGAGGTCGTGAAGATAAGCAAAGACTGCGAGGAAGCGATCTATGAAGCGATCGACTGTTTGTGGACAGCGAACGGAAAGTTTGTGTGGATTTCTCGCCGACAGATATACTGCTCTCATCTCATAAACGATAGCGATTTACAAGAATCTCAATCTCTTGTGAATA